GTGCTAGAAACTCTTTTAACTCTTTGTTAAAGCTTGAGTTAAATTAATTGTTGATCTAAATTTTAAAAAAAGTTCATTCTTGATGTGCTCAGCCTTTTATTGGATCACCAGTGTTTGTATTTATTTATATAACTAGAATAATTCACTTAAAAAGACAAAACTTTCTAATCTATGCATAAAAACAGACAAAAAAAAGAACTAAAAATGTAAACAGCAAAGTTGTTGTTGTTGTTGTTTCTTTTTAAAATTGGTTTTGATTCTGCATGTGCAGTTTTATGTCAAGGTAAATGGCTAAATAAAGTTCATTTAGATAAATTTTCAAAACTAACTGCCCAAATATGTGCTGAGTTTGGTACAGTCTTTTCACTGGACTTGCACAACCGTTAAAATCCAACAACAAGGTGCCGAGTTGTGTCCATCTACTCTTAGGTATTCCTGGAAGTCCTTAATTGGCTCTCTCATCTCTAACTTCATGAAGGACATGAGGATTCCCACACACACAAACACACCGTCACTCAGTCAGAAATAGCAGTTTAATCAGCGTTCGAAATAGCAGCTTAACCAATCAACGTTGCTGAGCCGTAGTGAGCCTGCAGCGTTGTCACATTAATGGCTGGTGATGTAGGCTATACTCACAGAGATCCTCTAAGCTGATTGGCTGTCTGCTGGAGTTATTCACCACACCTGGCATGACACAGGGGGCTGATTAGAGATGGAGTTATTTGTTTGGACTGTGGAAAAAATTCAGCACCTCCTCCTGGAGTTTGCTACAGTGACAGATGATAGACAGAGCACCAACGACACACAGCAGACAATTATTTCTGAAAATCCTGCAGACTGTCACATATCTTTTCTGTCTAATCAGAGCCACATGTAGAAAGTATACATATATACACAAAACCATACGAAAACAACACACAGCCTTGATACGTCCATCAGAGCATTCGCCCTCTTTCCTCCTGTCTTGGATTCCCACCCAACCTCCCTTCCTCCAAGCTAACATCCCTCCCTCCCTGACTTTCTACCCACACCTCTTCCTTCCCAATCTCCTTCATTCCTTCGTGCATTCCCTACCGTTGCGCCCTTCCTTTTCACAGAATGACACAGCAAATCACTAATCCAAGTTGTACTAAAGCTGTAGAAACTTCTGCATTATATTTTACTGTGCAGATCTCAGACAGATGAGGGCTGAAATAGGGAAGGAGACAAAAATGGGGGATTTGAAGGGAAGGAGAATGATAAGAAAGAGGAGTGGGAGTTGACCTTGATTTTGTCCCCCACCCAGCTCAAACTGCTTACAAGACACTGCTCGGTGGACGTACACCTATTGTTTTTCTGCTGGGGATTCACCTTGGGTGCATATAGAGCCACTAACAGAGAGCAGACCACCAACCAGAAGGGTCAACAAACAAGGGGTATAGCGACACTGTCTTTCATTGTTGATATAACAGTCTCCTTTTAATCAATTCAAGAGTTTAAATTACATGATAAGACATTTGTTAGAGGTGTGTTTGCAGCTGTATTTTGAATGGATCCATCTGTTTCAGCGTATTCATCACTCTAAAGTACAAAGATGCACAGTTGAAATGGTGTAAAGCTGCCAAAAATACAGCAGCACTAGTCCTATTAATAATAAAATTACAATATTATAATTATAAGAACATTTTTCAAAAAAAAAAAAAACATTTTTCATTTTTCAAAAGTCATCCAGTCTTGGTTAAAAAAATGACACTGCAATTTCTGGTTCAAAGGGTTTTAACAGTAATTAACATTCAGGATGTACGTTACTTTTGCATGCTAAAGTAATGTAGCAATTTATGGTAAATGGTAAATGGCCTGTATTTATATAGCGCTTTACTAGTCCCTAAGGACCCCAAAGCGCTTTACATATCCAGTCATCCACCCATTCACGCACACATTCACACACTGGTGATGGCAAGCTACATTGTAGCCACAGCCACCCTGGGGCGCACTGACAGAGGCAAGGCTGCCGGACACTGGCGCCACCGGGCCCTCTGACCACCACCAGTAGGCAACGGGTGAAGTGTCTTGCCCATGGACACAACGACCGAGACTGTTCAAGCCGGGGCTCGAACCAGCAACCTTCCGATTACAAGGCGAACGCCCAACTCTTGAGCCACGATCGCCCCAATTTAGTTATGATATTAAAAAAGTAGTCACATTTTTTGGACCAAATAAATCTAACGCATCTTGAATGACAATTTTGGAAAATTCAAAGTTAGGATTATTTAATGTTTTCTTTTCAAACTGTTGGATTGTAGCAGTGGAAAGTTAGATTTGAATCATCAGGACGAGTTCACCAATCCCAGGACAGAACAGATGTGGCCTGATGTTTGTGTTTTGCTTCTAATGTTAGAATTCATTGCTCATGGGAAATACACACACACACAGAGTGTAAACAGTAAGGTTTTGTGTGAGGGTTTCTGTGTGTGTGGCTGTGCCTGTATCTGAAGCTCACGCTTGGTCGAGGTTGGATCGTGACTTGAGAACAGGCTGTCCCATCGTGGTTAAATTTGTGCGCTGTGTGGTGAGCAGTCGTGATCCACTCCTGTGATGTGGGCCCAATGCGAGTGCGTTTTAAGCTGAAGGTATTTCTTACCTTGATGACATGTTAGATGTTTGAGGTTTTCAGGATTTTTGGTAATCGCCGGGTGTCTGTAGCTTCTTACTCAAACATCTCGCTTGTAGGTTTTCCCTCTTCTGTTTTGTTAAATTACAGAAGAATTGAAGTTATGATAAAGTCACAATAAATGCCTCTCAAACTGACGCTGGATCCTGAACAGTAGTTTAACCTCTGACATGTTTATGAACAGGACTTTTATCATGGTGGTTAAAAACAAAGTCTGGTTTTGTACTGTTAAAGCTGTATTTATGCTGTAATTGCATATATCCAAACTGGTGTTTGTCGTTACTGGCAGCATCCACATTTCTCTCACAGGCTCTCATGTATTGAGCTGAATGTCTGCACAGGGCTGCAAGCGGCAGTTTGAATTTTTTTATTTTTATTTTTTTAATTGATTATTCTGCTGATTTTATTATAGACACCATCATTATGTGCAATGACTATACACCGCGTTTTCAGTCTCCTGGTGCTATAGAACATGTGGTATAGCGCAAAAAAAGTCTGAGGGGCAGAACTGGCCTGCAGATCATCCCAATCTGGCCTCTAACATCCTAAGAATAAAATTAAACCGTATCAGCATTAATCATTTAAATCAGAAACAAAAGTTCCCCCTGATTCCGCTACCCTCAGAATCAACTGGGTTGTTTTGTTTTTTGTTTTGTTTTAAATGGCCTTAACAGAGATCAATACATTTTCCTGTTAAAACTAGATAACACAGACTATTTTACTGTAATTTTTTTGAGCCAGGACACACATTTGGTTTTGTTTGTTTGTTTTTGTTTTTTGGTCTTTTTGCTTTGCTTCACATAACAGAAAAAAAATGAGAGCTACATTTTAAAGTACTAACGGTCACATCATGTCACGTCATGGATTTAACAGTCTTTGTTTAGAAAAACAAGCCTTTGATTTTATTTTATTCTACTGAACAATGTTTTTGTGAATGAGAAAATAATCCTGATTCATAATGTACATAATGTATTAGTGTGGAGCACTTAAGGAAAATCAGTACGGTATCTTTAAACAGAGATGTTCTTTTTGGGGATGATCCTTCAGTAAATGGACTTCATCGTGTCAATACTTAAACTTCCTGACAGAAAAGGTTCAGAAGTGAAGAAATAATTATGGAAAATGCCACAGGAGTTGCCCATTATATATTTGTATTTATTATACTTAAAAAAAATCCATGTCTCACTCAGATTAAAAATCTGTTTTTCAAGAGAAATCTGGCCAAGAGGGCAGCAGAAACGACAACAAATAAAAAAACATAACAATGTAATAAGTCAAGAAACAAATAAAACTGATATTCAGTACAGATAAGTGAACGCAAGTCTGTGAATCATATGCAGTAACAGATCATTATGAGAGAGACATCAAAGCATTCACACTGACCAAAAGAGCTAGTCTCTTGTTCTCCTGTAAAATTGACTTAATCTCCCCCCATCATAACCAATTCTGATAATTTCATCTGCTTTTGTAGATTATTTCAGGATTATTCCGTTGTGACTCTGGAGACAAACATTCATATAACAATATGAGAGTGTAGGCTATACTAGTTGTTGTGGTGTTTACACATATAGAAACAGATAAGAAATAACCCAGCCAAGCAGAGATTTATAGATTAAAACACAACAAAAAACAACTGACTGGAAGGTCTCAAGATATATGAGATGACCACTTAGCAATATGATGTACACGGTTTCTATAGCCAGTAATAAAACTTAAAGTACAATGTTATTAACAGGACTTTTCTTATCCCACTCATTGAGACATAAAACGCGTGCGTGCATGTGTGATACAGTTTGGTGGAAGCTGATGTGCTGAAGCATTTGATGTCAACTGTTTGTGGCAGCTTGTCCAGGAAATGCTGTTTTATAAGGCGAGTTCAGATTCACTTGATTGGAGTTGTTGTAAATGAGAACATTGGGTTGTTTTTTTTTCCTCAAGAACAATCTAATACATTGTTTATGGGATTTTTTCTTTTTCTTTTTTCGTCTTCCTAGAAGGATACTCCCAGTCCTCCACTTCCAATGAACTCCACATTTAAAGATATAAAAGCTATTCATAGGGTGTGACAAAAGCTGATGAGCCGAGGCCAGTGAAAAAGTATATTGTGCAAGTTGACAGCCCAGCTTCTGACCCATTAGAGCTGATGTCATGTTTTTATCAGTCACAGAAATGATGTGAAGAAGTGAAATATTTGAAGAGAACTGTCACTAACAATAGTTGTTGTTTTTTTGTTTGTTTTTGAGTCATCACATTAAAGAAAGCCAATTCTCCCCACACAAAATAACACTGTACACCTTAAATGAATGCTTAACTATTACAACTGACATTGTGTCATTTCCTGTCTTTTCAGCAAGTGGTGACCCTGCCTAACTGACACCCTGCTTTCCCTGCCGTCCCCCCATCTCTGCCCCCCAGCCCCGTGTCCTGATTGGATCTCCGTGGTGCCGGCGGTGGATTGGAGCACTCTGATTGGGGGCTTTGCGAGGTGGTTTTTCGGTCTGGCGCCGCCTCCCCCCGGGGCCGGCGTGCGCTCCCAGCAGCCCGTGGTGCCCTGCGCCCCCCCGTCCCCGTCACTGCACACCCGAGCCCATGCCCAGGGTACGATCAAAGGATGAGTTTTTAGCATTCACACCTGTAGTTCAGTTTCCTCTCTGTGCACCAAAGCAGACATCTCATCAAAACCACTTCCTTGTTTTTGCCCCTATGAGCCTGAGAGTTGTGAAGATGAATTCACCAGTGTAGACTGAAAAATTCACAACGAAGAAAATGTGAACCATTTAAAAATAAAAAGCACAAACGTATACCGCAGTAGAAATGACTAAAACGTTTTAGCCCATTCAGACGGTTTCAGTATAAATGTGGCCCCTGATGTTCATGTAAACAGCAAGGACAAGAGGTGGGTGTCTCTCTTGGCTATTTGCCACGGCTGTCTGAGTTAATGAAGGTTGATTAAACCTTTTTTCCAGTGTTATGGTTCACTGTGTTACCCTAGCAACCAGTTAAACCACACCAATGTAATCACCGAAGGATCTAATTACTGAATTATCCGCCTATTACTCGGCTCTTTCTGCAAAAACTCCTTCTATTAGGAGCTCATCAGTCTCAAAGTTTGATATCAGAGCCGATGTATTACCCAATATTTTAACCAAACCTGCTGCTTATATGGTGTCATGTTCTTAACATTTTATATTTAACTTTGTTACATGTTTATAATAAATTTATGGAGACTGGGTCCTTCTCTAGATTGATTTGAGGTAGCTGTTGCTCAGACAGTAGACCATCTCCTTCAGTCCTCTTGGCAAAGTTATATACACACACACACACACACACACACACACACACACACACACACACACACACACACACACACACACAGCACACACGACATACACACACACACACACACACACACACAAGTCACCATCAAGTGCGGGATCTACCAAGGAGATGCTCTGTCCCCACTGCTGTTCTGCATAGGCCTGAACCCCCTCAGTGAGATCATTAACAAGACTGGCTACGGATACCGACTACGGAACGGAGCAGTTGTCAGCCACCTCCTGTACATGGATGACATCAAGCTGTATGCCAAGAGTGAACGAGACATCGATTCACTGATCCACACTACCAGGCTATACAGCAATGACATTGGAATGTCGTTCGGACTGGAGAAGTGTAGTCGGATGGTAACAAAGAGAGGGAAGGTAGTCAGAACTGAGGGGATTGAACTACCAGAAGGCAACATTGCAGACATAGAGGACAGTTACAAGTACCTGGGGATCCCGCAGGCGAATGGGAACCATGAAGAGGCAGCTAGAAAAGCTGCAACCACCAAGTACCTGCAGAGGGTCAGGCAAGTCCTGAGGAGTCAGCTGAACGGTAAGAACAAGATCCGGGCTATCAACACCTACGCCCTGCCCGTGATCAGGTACCCAGCTGGTATAATAAGTTGGCCAAAGGAGGAGATAGAAGCCACTGACATAAAGACAAGAAAGCTCCTTACCATGCATGGAGGGTTTCACCCCAAGTCCAGCACCCTGAGGCTGTACGCTAAGCGGAAGGAAGGGGGCCGGGGACTGGTGAGTGTCAGCACCACAGTCCAGGATGAGACAACGAACATCCAAGAATACATCACGAAGATGGCCCCAACTGACCGAGTGCTCAGTGAATACCTCAGGCAGCAGAAACCCAAGAAAGAGGAGGGAGACGAGGAACCATCATGGAAGGACAGGCCCCTGCACGGTATGTACCACCGGCAGATAGAGGAGGTGGCTGATATCCAGAAATCCTACCAGTGGCTGGACAAAGCTGGACTGAAAGACAGCACAGAGGCACTAATCATGGCAGCACAAGAACAAGCTCTGAGTACAAGATCCATAGAGGCTGGGGTCTATCACACCAGGCAAGACCCCAGGTGCAGGCTGTGTAAAGATGCCCCAGAGACAATCCAGCACATAACAGCAGGGTGCAAGATGCTAGCAGGCAGGGCATACATGGAACGCCATAACCAAGTGGCCAATACCATAGGTCCATTTACTACAAATCTCGGACATTGAAATCTCAGAGACCTTGACCTCAAGGTCAGAGGAAACGAGGAAGGTGTTCTTAAAATCTTGTGACTGCAATAACTGGAGAATAAAGGTGGCTTAGGATTTTCAAATTGATACCATAGGTGTATCTACTAGAACGCTGAGGGGTAGCACTGGCAAAGATGTAAAGGAATGTGAATTTGTTGCTTATCTTTATTTGAGTATTGGAGTTATGGGCTCTTCCCAATAAATCTTAACACTTTTAAACAATAACTGCAGCACAAGCCCAACTCCAACTCTAGTCAGTCCTCTCCACCCTTTTCCTAACTGCTGAAGAAAAATACAGCAGCAAGCTTTGGGATATCCTTATCTTTCTCCAACTCGTCAGCGTGTGTAGCTATTTTTTTTTTTATAAATGGTGTAAGATGGACGTATTAGAAAAATTTGCTCATTCATTCAGGTCATTACAATGACATTTCTAAACTCCTCCCACCTGTCTTAAATCTCGTCTTGTTTCTTGTTCTTTGCCCTTTATTATCAGTTCTTTAATATTTATGGGCTGTTTTTACATTTTGGCACCCTTCAAATCAATTTAAATACTACTACTACTACTGCTGCTACTGATGATGATAATTTAACCCCCCCCCCCCCCCCCCCCAGGGGAAAAAAAAAAAAAAAACTTCAGCCACTCCACAGATGTTTTCTAGCTTCTAGCAGCCAGCTCTCCTCCCATCCACAGCCAGTGTGTTTTGCACAGGTACTGGATCAGCTGCAGTGTTCTGGTATTTGCTAGATTTTTTTTTTGTTCTTTTTTACTTGTAGTTTTAATGCATAGTTGTCAACATTCTCTTGTGTGTGACACATCTTTATATTTCAGGATCAGTGCCGGTCTATATCATGCACACTTTAATTTCCAATAACAGTGTCCCCATAACAATGAGGAAACTGGTTTGTGTTTATTTTATGAGTGGTATGTAGCAAACATTAAATAGGTTTGTGTCTGTCCTGCTTTATGCCCTCTATTCGATGGTGTTTTAATGCAGCCAAATTGACAATAAATCTAAAGTAAATCAGTTTTTACCTTCAAGTCATTTTCTAACTTGCCTTTCTTTCCTGCCAAAGCTTTGATTTTATTCAATTCAATTCAATTTTATTTATATAGCGCCAAATCACAACAAAAGTCGCCTCCAGGCGCTTCATAGATACAGAGAAAAACCCAACAATCATATGACCCCCTATGAGCAAGCACTTTGGCGACAGTGGGAAGGAAAAACTCCCTTTTAACAA